GGGAATGTTTTGTTTAATTTTACCTTTTCTTTTTGTGTTCTTAACTTTTTTGGTGGTGGGGCTGTTGTTTTGTGTTTTCAGTTTTGTTTGTATGAATGACTAGATTTTACTTTTTTTTTAATTTAAAGTTTAATTTTTAGCAAGCATGGGAATATATCTTTGCATACACCTTGGGAAAGAGAACACCCTAAATATGGCTTAATCAACATTGTCAATCATTTTCTTTCTTTTCCACTGACTCAGATACATGCATTGTTGGAAACGTGTGCTCTAGTGGCATATTTTTTTAGTCTAATTAGCTGCCTGCCTGTAATCAGGACTATATCAAATGTTGTCATTCTAAATGTTTCCTTTATTTTTTTCAAACACATTTGCCTGATTGACCTTTTTTTTTCTCTGTCTTTCTATGGGGCTGCTCCAGGAGCCATGGCTAATCATCTTATAAGCAATGCTCTGCTTCGTCCGCATGGTACTAACAATCCCTATAATACATTGCTTGGGGAACCGGCGGTCTGTAACAACCCTTCTGTCAGCATGTACAACGCACAAGGTGTGCTGGAGTTTATCTTAATTTTTTCAAGTGAGAGTCCCATCTTATGTAGCTTTTATGGGCACATTCTATTTTTCTTTCTCTTACCTTTCTTTGTTTTGGAAGCAGACACACAGACTCCTTTCACATTCCACCCCCTTGGTGCTTTTATTTTCCATTTTCCTTAGGTTTTCCTTAGTAAGAAATGGAATCCTTCTGATAAGCAAATGTTTAATTCACACCAATATATGTATGTTTCTCTGTAATGTTATTAAATGTTTTGTGGTTTGTCAGTACTTTCCTTGTTCATGTATTCCTATGTTAAATACCTATGTATTTGTTTTGAGAAATGAGATATTTGCTTAAGGTAAGTAAGATAAAGAAAGATTTGATTCAGTAGTCTTAATGCTATAAGATCAAGAAAATAAATCCTGCTTTGTTATACCACAAAGTGCAGTTGAGACAAAACATTAACAGTGAAGAAAACATTGAGATCAACTATAGGGAAAATGAACTAAGCAGCAGAGGAGAAAGCATCGAACTGGCCAGTAGTAGTTCTGTCTTTGCTCTGCCATTCCCTATTTGAGCTGGTTGAGACAGGTCACAAAATTGCTTTTTCTACTGTGGCTTCATGTTAAAAAGAAGGCTTTTGACTATTGTTCCTCTATATATCCTACAGCTTGAAAATGATACAAAACTATATTTCTAGTTCAAACAAATCAACATAGATCTCTTTACAACCATTTACAGTATAATCATTCGAACACAATTTTACCTTTGCTATATATAAAAATGTGTTGGGGCACAAAAAATTCAAAATACATAATATACAAGTAGAGCACAGGATAAAATTCTCCAAATAAAAGTTTCATAAAAGAAAAATCCTAGTCAGTGATCTACGTACTTAAAATTATACTTGAAAGAAAACTCACAATGACAAAGAGACTTCCATGATTTTTTCAAATTGAATGTGATTGATTTGCAGTATTTAAATTTTTTTTTAGGCAATTTTGAATAAAATTTCTGTTATCCTTTGTGGGGATCTTTGGATTTTATTTTTTGTTTCTCAGTCACAGGTAAAACATCAGAGATGTGAGTGTGTGAAACTGATGTGAATGTGCCATTGCAGGAAAGGATATGTTGTTACAACATGGCCATTGGGTGTCTAAAACCATCTGAGCTTCCCCCGGTGGTACCTTGCCACATACAAATGATAATTTTTATTATTTTGTAAATACCAGAGTTTATGATTAAAAGTGACTTCAGGGATATAGTCAAGATATTTGTCAATACAATAAAATAATTCAACTCACAATTTCGTTAAGTTTCTGAAGGGATACGTGTCTAAGAATCATAGATTTTTTGAATCAGAAGACATAGAGCTCATTAAACCCTCTTTACATCATTGCTGACATTCTGTTAACCTGTGCTTAAGTATATTCTCGCATGTATTCTATTGTTGAAAGACTCCATTTTTTTCTACATGTATATTTTTCCTTCTATTGAGCTGAAAATTTTCCTTGGCCATGATGCTTAGATTTGCCCTCCAGAGCAAAGCATTAACCCTGCTGTCTGTGGCAGTCCTTTAACTACCTAAAAGCAACTAATCAGTCTTCCTTTAGTTTTCCATTTCCCTAATAAAAGCACACCATCAATATGAGGCATGTTCTGGGTCCTTCCTCATGACTTCTCCTTCAAAGTTATTTCTCAAATCTGTGTCCTTATGTCCTTGTAGCACTCCATTAACTGTACATTACACAATATACCAGATGTGGTTTGGTAGAACAATTTGGTAGATCTTATAAAGACTTGTTTTGTTGTGTTGTTTATTTATCTTAGACCAAGTGACAGGTAATTGTGTCATTATAAACAGTTTGACACGCGTTGGCATATAAGTAAATATTGGATGATGTTAAATAAAAGTTTTCACCATATCTGCAAATCAAATGTATTCCACATTATTCACCTTCACAGAAGAGTTGTTTGTAATTATTTTAAAACAAGTAATAAATTTGGATCACATTTTCTTTAGCTTTTTGGTTGTTCAGAGATAATTTCTACCTTTTTATATAGTGAAAAAAAAAATTATTAACCTGTATGTTCTTCCTAAGTCAATATCTGCCTTCTTATCTTACTTTATTTTTACTCGTATCCTAAAGTAAGGATGGAATCCTTCTGTAAAAGCTATCAAATTGAAATTATCACAATGTAAAATTTAAAATAATACCATATTGAGACAAAGTTTTATTTCTGTGGAATTCATTACTGGTTATTGCTGCTGAGATTATCAATAAATACACAAAGGATTCTTCTGAATGGATTTGTGTTTTAGTCCAGTAAATTCAATAAATTCTACTGACTTTTTTCTTAAAAACAAAAGCAAATAATTTTATTAATGTTTCTCAGTGTCAAAAGTGGAATTGTACACTATTTTATGTTTTAATTTTTTTAAAGATGTTAAGAAACTATGGTAGTACTTAAAATAATTCTTTTTGCCACTGACCAAAAATAAATCTTGGTGACTGTCATATTGCTACTAATCTTATGCTTTCAGATGAATGCACTTATATTCTTACTGGCAAGGTGAAATCTTACATGAAATATAGGTGGCTCGGTATGTACTGGAGTGGTTTATGTTGAATTACCACTTGGTTCTGTTCTGTGGATCCTTGAAGGCAGTTGCACCAATGCTATCCAGGCATAGAAGCATTCTGATTTATGGTATCCACTCTTGTTTGTAACGCCTTTATATAAAACATGTAAAGAACTGTTTATAATGTTACTGAAGCATATAAAGTTAGGAATAAAGATGAGTAATATACTTTTATTATGCCAAATTCAAATTCTATTCTGTGGAATATTTACAATTTTATGCATAACGTTTCTGAGTCATTATCTTCTTGTCAGGATTGGAAATTTAATTTTTGTATAGATAAACCTCATTGTAGGAAAGCCTGTCAACAAAACATAATATAGAGAGGAAGTCATGATTTTACTAAAATAATTTACATCTTAAAACAATTCAATTCTAAAACTTTAATGGAATATATTCATAGGATGGACTATAGTGAAGAATATATTGTAGTTGGTAAGAATATAAGATTATCTTAGAAAGCACATAAATAGATATTCCGTTATGGCTTTCAAAGCCTAAAGCAGATGTGAAGTGAAGGATATTGCAGCAGCCAGGATTGGAAGAAGTCTCGAAGAAGCTGTCTGCCACATTAGCAGGGTGGCATTAGATAAGGCTCAGCCTCTCCATGCTACAGTTTCCTCCTTCTCTGGAAAGCAGGAATTGAACTTCAGTGATCTCTCATGTGCTTTCCACTTCCAAAATGCTCTCATTTAAGGAATGAGCCTACAAGCATTTACATCTGTTTATACCTGCTAGACTTTTTATTTCAAATTCTTATTCTAAGGCTCCTTTGAAACTTTAGAAGAGATTTCCTTTGGATTTTGAAACACTGTTGATCTTTTTACTGAGAAGAAAATCAAGCTTTAAAGTGTAAAAACTGTCTCTTTAAACAGTGGTTCAATTATAACAAGCTGGAGCTCCTTGAAATAATCTGACCCAATGAATTTGCTGCTTTTTATTTTGTGATATTTTAACCTTTTGTAAACAAAATCAGCAAGAGTTATTCTTTTAATCTGATTACAATATGAGTTTTTTTAATAAAAAGTAATTTTGATAGGATTGTTTTAAAGGATCAACTCTCAAAATGTTTGCACACGATTGTGTAAAAATCGGGAAGAAAACCTGACATTGATGGTGGCATTTTTCCCCCTTACATTTTCTTGATTCAGAATAATAAATGAATTTAACCTTTTTTCTCCATAGTTATACAATTTTCGAACATGAGCTCCAGAAATGACAATATTGATCAGTTTTCATTTAAAATTGATAGAAACATTTGTATATGTACAATGGGGAAAATAACGTTTGTGCAGGAAAAGAAGACATATAAGGGGGAAAAAGAACACAATTATGAAAGCCTTCAACTCTGTTTTTTTTCTTTGTATATAAGCTAAAGATTTTATTTATAATTTTACTGAAAAACTTTAAAATTAAACAATTCCTTAGAAGCAGTTATGCTCAAACCTACACATACATTCATACAAAATATTGAAATACACTGGTGAAAATAGTCATGGCTTGCCCTCAAATTTTTATTCTCATTGATTGGTGTGATAATCTTAACTTTAAGTGTGTATTTTCTTGACTTTGATAGAAACGCTGTTAAAGATGCATTATATTAGCATGTGTTAAGGGGAATTTCTTATTTTCTGACTAACATTTCAATATTATGATAAACCATGTAACACAGACTCATGAATTTTGGGGCAGTGGAAATTATTTCCTTTGACTCTTTTTTCTGCATATCATCAATTTGCTTTTTACTCATGTTCTTTCTACTGTCGCTGTAAGCTTACTTGTTGTTTTTTCTTTCCTTTTCTTCATGCTGTCGTTTAGAGCCCTACAGAGAGACAAGTATGGGAGTAAAGCTAAACATTGCATATCAAATGTAATTTTTTTTAGTTCACTTTTATTGCATCACATATAGATGATGTAGTTATTAAAAACAGTTCATCTCACAATTTAAAAACTAAAGAGCCTATGAATCGACTTTTATAAATATATGTTAATTAGACGCTTTTGTTGTCTGATTCTTTTATTCTGTCACATAATCAACATGGTTGTTAAGTCTCATGTACTGTTTGTGTGAGTTAAATTGTTTTTAAATTAAGCATTTATTTTTGCTAAGTATAATCCATAAACTTTTAATTTTTATCAGTACATTCCATCATAAAAATGTGTCACGTGCAACATACCCACTTTATTTTATTATGGCTGTTTTCAGCCTATACCTAATGCATTGACAACGGAAATAATAAACACATGTTGCAATGCATCAGTCACCCAACCATCACCATCAAGCATATCATAGCAACCTCTGCAACAGCTATTACCCATCACATACAGCCCTTTAAAAAGCATTTACTTTTATTTTTTCTTAACATCGTGGATTTGTCTATGAGATAAAATGAAAATAAATCGCTTCACCCTATGTCTGTGATGGCTGCATATTAATGCATTTTATGCTTTGTTATTTTTGAAAAGTGTGCTACTTAAATACAGAGGATGCATCTGAAGTCCATATAAAAATTGGTATTTTTGAGACACTACATTTAAACCAGCAATTAACTAGTTGAGTTTTGAAAATTATCACTGCATCACAGATATAGAATGAATGCTCTATTTTCACAAGTTAGCAATATATCAAGAAGTTTGAAGAAGTCTCCAATTCATTTTTCTTTAAAGAAACACCTTTTTATTTACTAGTAAATTGGTTAAATGTGTTTTTTTTCTTTTTGTGGTTGCATTTGAAGTGATTTATGAAACTATTATAGACTCTTGGATTTCTGTGAATTCAAGGGAATGCAAAAACCTTGAAGAAATATGTGGTCAAATTTATTTCACTGCAGCTGTTTCTTACCAGAATAAAATGTTTATCCTCTTTTAAACCTAAAGTTTAATATGCACACAAAGTCATCACTCATTATATAGTGGTAACATTGATACTGACACAATGTTTTCAAAAATCAGATCCCTGTGTCTTTATAAATTCTTTTGTAGTATTGCTAATGACCCTAAAAAAAAAACTGATGGGATAATATATAATAAATATAATAACAACCCAAGTGCTTATAGCAAGAAAAAAATTAAAAAGTAAATCCAAATACGTTTGTTTGAAAGTTCCTATGTGTAAATTATTTTGATGTACCATTTATTTGACTAAGCATTATTTCATGACCTCACCATTCTGACAAATTTAACATAATCCTTTTGTGGTTTTGCGTGTAGGGATTATTTTTAATCTTACAAAATTATATACCAAATTCTTACAAACTCTGTTTCTTTTGACAAGTTTATTCAAAGTACCACACATGAATTATGTTAATAGTACAGCTATTTCAATGTTAAGACAACATGTAAAATTAAAGGTAATGAATTATTTAGTTGACTTTGATGTGTATAAATTGAAAGCTATGAATGACTACACCAAAATTTCACATTATTTTGTTTATGCTATGACCAAATATACTTTAAATGATGTCAGGCAATATTTGTGTGGAAATTATAAACTGATAATTTATAGGTTTTTAAAAATTATTTTAAATATTTATTTTAAATACTATTTCTCCATTTATACGATATCTCTCCGTTCCATTATGTACCTATATGGAAATGCACATAGAGATTTAATAGTATTTTTGGTTTTTTCCCAAACATTTTATACTTAAGTAAAAAATGCTAGCAATTTATACATATTTCATAGTCGATGAATGTTTTTGCCTTTGTGTTCGTGTGTGTGTTCTATGGCCTGTTGGATATAAATGTCATAGTGTCTTGTAATCTTTTTCAGAGGGGCTTCTGAACAATGCCAGGGATACAAGTGTCATGGATACTCTACCACTGAATGGTAACCATGGCAATAGTTACAGCATTGCCAGCGGTGAATACCTGAGCAACTGTGTGCAAATCATAGACCGTGGCTATAACCATAACGAGACCGCCCTAGAGAAAAAGATTCTGAAGGAACTCACTTCCAACTACATCCCTTCTTATCTGAACAACCACGAGCGCTCCAGCGAACAGAACAGGAACCTGATGAACAAGCTGGTGAATAACCTCGGCAGTGGGAGTGAAGATGATGCCATTGTCCTAGATGACGCCACCTCCTTTAACCACGAGGAGAGTTTGGGCCTGGAACTCATTCATGAGGAATCCGATGCTCCCTTGCTGCCCCCAAGAGTTTACTCCACAGAGAACCACCAGCCACACCATTATACCAGAAGGCGGATCCCCCAAGACCACAGTGAGAGCTTTTTCCCTTTGCTAACCAACGAGCACACAGAAGATCTCCAGTCACCCCACAGGGACTCTCTCTATACCAGCATGCCAGCACTGGCTGGTGTGGCCGCCACAGAGAGTGTCACCACCAGCACCCAGACCGAACCCCCAGCGGCCAAATGTGGTGATGCCGAAGATGTTTACTACAAAAGCATGCCAAACCTAGGCTCCAGAAACCACGTCCATCAGCTGCACACTTACTACCAGCTAGGGCGCGGCAGCAGTGATGGCTTTATAGTTCCTCCAAACAAAGATGGGACCCCTCCGGAGGGAAGTTCAAAAGGACCTGCTCATTTGGTCACCAGTCTATAGAAGATGACACCGAAATGTAAATCAACAGAACTGCTAACACCTTGTTGACTGTTCTGAGTCGATATAAGCAGTGGTAATAATGTGTGTACTCCTAAATCTTTATGCTGTTCTCTAAAGACAAACACAAACTCTCAGACTTTTTTTTTAATGGGATTTTTAGGTCAGCCCAGGGGAGAAAGATAACTGCTGAAATTCCTCTGTGCCCCGTCTTTTCGTGTCCTTTCCCCTTCAGATGGAGACTTCATTATGTTAATGAACAAGATATGAAGAAAATGGCACTCATTGTGGCCTTGTTGAATTATGTTGTGTTTGTTTTAACATCTCTGATGCTCTGTTACTATAATTACAAGGACCTGCTTTTTCAAAGGCCAGAACAGTTGTTTGGAATTAGTAACAATGCTGCATCTAGATTGGAGTGCTGCACAAACAAACATAAAAGCAAAACTGTATCCTATAGTGGTTTTGGGTCACTCACAACCTGAATTCACCACAGCTGGGATAGCTGTGGAAAACAAAATAAAACAACAAAATTAATAATGAAACGGAGGGGGATTCTAGAATTATATGCTAAATGCATATTTTATGATTTGCTGTATTAACTGATGATAAAACTAATGGCAGAAAAAAAGTTGAACAATTTCTATGTAATGTACAGATACTAGCATTGCACATATAGTCTGCTTTCTGTTCCTCCAGAATTTGAGTCCTGTTAATGTAGTGGAAAAAAAAAAAAAGAAATTTTCTTTTTCTTTTGTGCTGGTTGTGCAAGTTTGTCTACCAGTAAGAGAGCAAAGTTTCCTTCCTTTCTTCTTTCTTTCTTCATTTTCTTTTTCCTTTGTTTTCCTTTCTTTCTTTTTTCTTTGCCTTTTTTTCTTTAAAGTTTAGCCTGGCAAAAAATAAATAAATAAATAAATAAATAAAACTATCACTTTATAAGAATCATTTTCTAGTAATGCAAACAAATTATTTTTTACAAAAAATAAAATAAAATAAATAAAATTAGACTTCCTTCCCTCACTATATATCTTTATGCAGTCAGAATATTTCCAGCAGCGTTTTTGCAAATTAGAGCAGGACAAACTTTTAAGTTTACAGGGCACATCTGTTGTCATGCAAAGCATATTGGCAAGCAGCTCATCACCAAGACAGTAGCTATGATTCTAGAAGTCAAGAGGTGTCTATAGAACTAGTGGGGCTTCTGCATGTGAAAAACGGTATTTCATAGACGTTAAAGTGCTAAATGCTCAGTCTGATCCCCAAGTGGGCACCTGCACTACCAATTTTTAGAGGAAATTCACTCCCTCGTAGTAGGAATTGAAAGGTCAAATTATTTTGAAGTGATTTTTTAAAAAAGTCTTCTGTTTATTAACAGGAAAATTTATTTATTTGACAGGATTTTAAGTAATGTAGGAATACAAGTGGTAAATTAGCAGCACATATAATTTTTTTTAAATTTATGATCCATTTTGTATGGTCTCAAAGTTGGATGACCTCATTACTAATATTTGTTGTAAAAGTGAAACTTGTTTGCCAACCAATAAACAACTGATTGAGATTTAGAAGATATTGTATTGATGTATGTACTATATGATTAATTATTCTTTTCATTTTTCTCGTCTTTCATTTCTTCTGTTTTCAATATATAAACTTTGCTAATCCTCTGTGACCCAAATGAGCCATGCAAAAGAAATCAATCTGCCTAGATGAATAACCTAAGCACAAAATTATACAGTTTTTGCAGACAAAGTAAACCAGAAAAATGGGATGGGTATGTTTACATTGGCTGAAATAAGATGCATAACTTACTTTCAAGCAGGTTAACATATGTGTTACTCTTTTCTTATTTATAAACCAGCTGCAGTCACTGTGCTTATTTTAAAAGCCAGATTCAATCACAGATATAAATATTGAATTTGGTGTGGGGGAGTAATATTTTTTCCTCCTTTGTAAAAGACTTAGGAAATATAAATTTACTCAATTGACCAAAAGTTGCAGGAATCATGGCCATTTTATAAAGATAGCATAAGACATTTTTTGTGGTGATTTTTTTTCTTAGGGGGGAAATGGGAGGAAAAAAATATCCTTTCAAAGAAACTTCCTAGATCTTTAATTACTGCAAATCTTTTGCAGCAATGTCCAAGCATGAAAACTTTATTAGGGCAAAGCTAAAACAAATTGCAAAATAATAATTTATCTTGTAATGTGTTTTATCTTGGGATTTTCTTTTCTGAAAATCTAAACACCACTTATCTACAAATGAATATCTTCAATCAAAATAAGGACTAGTTTAGAGAATGGACAGTAATCAATATACAGTTTAAAGATATGTGACAAAAAATTTTTGTACTGGGCCGGAGAACATCATAACCTTCTTATCTTCTCAAAATATTTTATGTATCATTTCTTTTTAGTCGATTAACATGTATTTTTTAAATCTACAGATTGTATTTCAGTTGGAGGAGAACCACAAGCTTTAATGGTAATGAGGTTTTCTTACACCACACTGTGGCAATATTAGCACCTGAAAGGCATTTAATTCACTAATATGTAGAACACATTTGACAATAAAAGAATCCTTTTTAGACCCATTTAAGGTACCTTCAGAAACACAAATGTGGTCTTTGGATTATACACACCTGTACTTGTTTTGCCAATCAAACAGTGATTTATGTAAAAGCAACTCCATCAGTAAGAAGTTAGTTTCACAGAAAAATGGGGAAACTACCTCAATTCAGCTTGCTGATTTTCTAATATTGCTACCTCCCTGCCCATTATTTTTGTGTTTCATTATATGGAAATTTGAAGCAGGTAGCCTCCCAAGTTCTGCACAGGCCAAGTTGAAGAAAGATCACTTGAATATATAAACTGGTAACGGAAGATCATTCAGAACTCTCAATTCCTACCAAGCTCTTGCATCAAGTTAAAAGGGTAAGATCTTTGAACTCTCATACATCATAACTGGTGTGCTTTCGGAGAGACTTCAGATCTCAAAAGATTTTTACAGGGAGAGGTTGTTCTCCCAAGTTATATCTAACTATAATGAAAAATAAGTGGATAAAGGAGTTAATTATACATACATTCCAATATGTATATATCTAACAAGTATTCATTTAGTCCTGTTTACACTAGCAAGGGTTGAATTCCTGAACTTGAATTTTTTTCCTTCACATACATTTTCATGTAGAGCTATTAATTAACTAATTAACAATTTTTAAATTTTTCTTCTACCACCTTTTGACTCCATTTTTTAATACCCTATGACATTTGTGATCTACTTATCTTCATATTTTTATGTATTTATCTGATTTTCCAGCAAAAAAAAGACTTCCATCAAACAGATACACTATGCATGCATAATACATTTTTTAACCAGCTGGAAGTAAAACAAAACAAACAATTACTTCCCCATAAAACATTTTACTCTTGGGATTTTCTTTCTTTTTGTCTAGTTCACACAATATTTTATCAGGACACTAATGTACCTCAGGTTTAGTTGATTCTGAAACTGATGAATTGCTATGCAGCTTTTGTTCCTAATTGATAATATTTGTGACAAAATTGAAATTTTGTGAAGGAGAAATAGGTTACAATTCCAATTAAATTTTATGGGCAACCCTCCTTATTTCCACTACATTATAATTAAACACACTGAAGGTGAATAATTAATTACTATGCTAAAATAATCATGATTATCAAGGTAGGCATATTAGGGAATTAGTTACATTTATAAAGGACCCACATAATTAATTTTAGGCAATATCTTTAGCTTTTTCCTCCCACACATGTTCAAATGCCACTGACTAGTTTGCTTACTCTAAAGAATGACATTTAAACTTTGACTTTCTGTATTACTTTAGAGACCAAAAAGAAGAGCAAAATAGTTTCTAGATTGCACAAAGATCAATCCCAAATTAACCTATAATCGTCCCCTACTACTGACAGAATAAATAACGTTTGAAGTTGTCCATCAGTACTATACTAAAGTGCTACTGCTTCATATACTTTTCCGCCAAGATGGGGTCTAGCTCTGTCACTCAGGCTGGAGTGCAGTGACTCCATTGTGACTGACTGCAACCTCAGACTCCAGGGTTTAAGTGATCCTGCAGCCTCAGCCTCCCAAGTAGCTGATAGCCTCAAGCCACGGCTCCAAGCCTGGAGGTTTTTTGGAAAAAAACAAACACTACAGAACTACAATGCCTATTAATTCAAATTCAGAGAGTGAAAAAAAAGAACCCAAACCCTAATTTGGTTTGAGCAAATCTGAAGATATTAGCACGAATGTCCTTTAGTCTCTAACAAGCATATGAGATAAAATAACAATATAGCTGAACTTCTCAGTATATTGCACATTGTTAGTAATTCATAATTTTTTAACTTACCACATGAAGAATTACTATGCATTCCTAAATAATACTTTAAAGATATGTTAGATTTCTGCACATCATTAAATTAGTTCGGAAGATGGAGTTACAAAACAAAGTAGCAACATTGTAAAATAGCTTATGGAAGCATTTTTGTGCAAATGGATTTTTACATAAGAAATTTCTTTGAGCTCATAAAGTATATTCAATGGATCCCAATAGTAAATTGAATTCTGTAATCAGCAAATATGTTCTTCTTAAACCATCTGAAAATATTATTAAACATTTAAATTTTCATTTGCAGACTAGTAGAAATTAAGAAGTGGTGGTAGCTGCTGCTTTCCTGATTAGTCCATAAGAGGACATTTTCCTATTTACTAATTAACCCTGATTACTTCCTCTTTGGTTTAGAAAGGAAATCAATCTTTAACTTTCACCTGTACACATACACTCTGATTCCTTTTATGACTTGCAGAGAAAATGACTTTTTTATACTACTACAAACTGTGAGTTTTCCATTAAAAGGCAGTTAATATGGTTTTGCATATTCTTATTTGAAACAAAGTTATTGTTATTCCTTCCTTTAAAAAAATATAAAAGTCAGCACTTTTTCATATCCAGCACTTTTAAGTTACTATTCAGATGTCTTGATTTCAACTATGTTTTGATATTTCTTTCTCTCACTTAACAATATGTCACATACATTTTTCTCATTTAATAATCTGTGTCCAATTAGAGTATTTCAAATGTAAATGCAACCTATAATTTTTAAGAAGACATGAAAAACTTCGGCTTATATTTTAAGAAGTCAAGAAATACTAGACATGAAAAAAATCTCCATTGGGATTAGCAAGTATTTTCAACCACAATATGAACAGAAGAACAGAACCAACCAAGTTGGAGAATGTATGGTATGGTGAGGTAACAAGATCCAAATTAGATTTACAGAGAAAAGTATCCCAGGAAAAAATAATGAAATTATTTGTAGTAATACAAATCTTAAACACTATACCAAATGTTACTGGTGTGTTAAAAAAAAAAAAAAAAGTAAAAGTAAAGTTTCTCATATTATAATTTCATTCTGCTAATTCCCCCCAAAACACTAAACACTTTTATAACTCTTTAAATATGTCTTGTCTAGCTGTACCTTGTCTCATGAAAACATCAATATTTTATAATTTTTCTTAAAAATAAGTATTTTGCCTCAGTTCACCTCCCCTCTCTAATCTAATCTGCCTACTTTATTATATGCCAACACAGTTATTGCTAATAGTAGCTTTGTACCTTTCATAGAGCTATTATGAATCTTTCTAATAAAAATTAAATTAAAATTGTACTAGAATTATGTGCATTGTGCAAAATAATTCATAACCAAGTGATATATTACAGGATAATTTATTATATATTAAAACATTGAGACTGAACAAATAAGTACACTGCTGAAAATATTAGTCTCAAGCGCTCTGTCTTCAATTACTGTAGTCAATTCATATAATTCCGCATACAGTTGTACACATATATGGTGGGTTTTCAAAGTACTCCATAATCCAAATGCATCTAAAAGTATTCTCAATGTTCCTTTCATTCTAGAATGCTAAAGGAAAGAGTTGGAAAAATGAAGTAAAGCAGACTACTGAGGATTTAATTTAAATATTGTCATTCAGACTGAACAATTTTTAAATGAGGTTGCTCTATAGTTTGATCCATAGGAGAAAGACTAAAGATTTACAGGTAGTCCAAAATCAAAGACTTTTAAAATTTAAAGGAGTTAAGTTTGTCTCAATGGCCCAAGACGACGAAATTTCATACTACACTGACAAGGAAATATCTTTAAAATCAAGACCTAAATAGCTTTTTCAAGTTTGAAAATTCCACTGATTCTTCTAAATATAAAACAAGAAAAATGATCCTGATTCTAAAGTGAAATGGATTGATTGACCTCAAAAGATGTTTGACAAAGTAAGTCAGTGTCCTCAACACTTTAAAAGTAGGTAGAGGTCTTTGGGGTTGGAACTCAGGATGCAGTCACTAGGACAGTGTGTTCTCTATGCTAATCACTGCCTTGTTTTCTAGAATATTTTTAATGCCCTAAATTTCAAGTTGTCACAATGACTTGTTTTGAATGACATTTTGAATCAAGAAAGATGAGGAAAAACACTTAAAGTTGGTTTCATGTTTCCTTTGAGAATAAAGATTTCTTTTACCATCCTAAGTAATAAAAGTTGATATGTCTTAAAACAGCTATGGACAATCAGGATGTGTTCATTTATAAAGTATCATTTTATTTGTATATTTTAACACTGATCTTTGCCTGTGAACTATAAAATCAGGATGTGTAGAGTCAGTTGATTTCCCTTCATTTGACTTCTGTGAATGCATTGGAAGTGGATGGATAATTTGGAAGTGGATGGATAATTTGGAAGTTTTTGCATAGTTTCCCCTTTGGCCAAGCATTAAAGCTAATTCAGCATACTCCTTTCTAAAAAATAATAATTTACTTTTAAAAACTAACAACTAATTGTGCTATTCCTTATTGACAAGAAAAATTACTTTTTAGAAGCAAGAATATAGTTATCACAACTTTGGTCTCTTAGGATGCTCATATATTGACACATGGCATTATTCTTATCATATACACCTATGAGATTTCAAGCTATTGGATTTTTCCCTTGTACAACCTTTTCATCCTTTTTTTTCCTTAAATGCTCTGTACAATCACATGTAAAATCATAAGCTACAAACCTCAATAAAAATATCAGTAAACAATAAGTGATGTAGTTACTGTTATTATATGGTATTACCAAAACTTTGGTTTTGGGATAGTGTTTCAAACGGCAGGATAATAACTGAAACATGGGTTCTTGATATAGCTCCTGTGCCCACTAACCTCATGCCCTGCCACTTTCCCCTTCATATCTTGAAAATAAAATGAAAGGTCTTTTTTTTTCTTCTTTGTGCTCAGTGAACCACAGCCACCTGAGGTGTCTATAAGCTTATTTGTCTTTTCAAGGAAGATAGGAAGTTAAATTAAGAATTTACTGTCTGACCTTAATATTTGTCATTAATGAGATATAATCTAATTTAGTCTTATATCTATGACCTGATCTTATTTCTCCTCATCCCAGACTAGGGTGTAGGACAGTCAGTCACCAATGAACCTCTGGTTCAACAGAGAGTTTAGAGTTATGTGCTGTGACATACCATTTTTCTTTTAAATAAAAGGCACAATATATATCAGTAACTGTTTTGGATCACAAAGATAGATATTGCATATCATTATTCTCTTGTGTCAGAGATTCTGATTGTTTAGCTTACTAATTCTGAGCAGTAAAATGAGCACAAACATCTAAATCAGATGCCTTTTCTTTATATTAAAATAGGCTTTTATAAGAAATATTCTATAAAGGAATTGGGAGGGAGTTACCACCTCCTGAATATATGTGCCTGGTACTTCATACTGCCTCATTTAATCTTCTTGATAATATGGCAAAATGGAACTTATTACTATACACTCCTTTCGTGGAGGAAACTGAGATTCCAGTCTCACAGTCACAGGGCTAGAGAGTTTTCAGCCCAAATCTCTCAGTCTAATGTCTTTCTTATTTATTAATTTTATACTACGTAAATTAAATAATTATTTGGGAAAAAAACTAATTTCATTTAAATAAAGGTAGAAAAACAGACAATCAAGGAAATGTTGAAAAAATATGGAACTCAAAGTTTATGTAAACCCCATTTTATTAGGCAGTTAATATACACATATGCATATATATATTTAGAGAGAGAGAGTGAGAGAGAGATCAATATATCTTTGTCTACTTATCTATCTACTGAGAGAGAAGACAGACTTGATTTTTTAAATTCTGATTCTGTTACTTACCACTTCTATGCCTTTCAACAAATAAACATTTCTAATAGGGTTTCTCCTCCCTAAATATCTTAATATAATATTTATTTTGTCTATGATATATCATGTAAATATACAACATACTAGGCATACTGAAAGTCCTCATCCAAAATATTCTTAGGCATTTTGAGTTAATACTAAGTCGACTGTGTCTTGTTGATTCTATTAGACTCCTCACTCCCAATAATATTTAGGTTTAGAAGCACTCCCATGCTTCTAAATAAAATTTTAAAGTTCCACTCTGATATGTATGACTGGTTCATTTCATTATCAGAGCACTTATGATAACTGCTAGTTTATGTACATAATTTTTCAAATTTTAATTTTTCCACAACAGTTTTAGCAACAGGCCTTAGCTGATGAAAAACATGATTCTAAGTTTAAATATATTTGGGAGATGTGAGATTAAACACAAACTTTTAACTGTAGGATTTCAGAGAGATGCACTGCAGAACTCTGAGAGGACTTTGGCAGGAGACAGATCCCCCCCCCCAAAAAAAACCGGAATTATCTTTGAGAAGGCCTCTTGTATTAAACTCACAATTTGTTTCTCTGAGTCGAACAGCCAAAGTATTTATCTGGAAATTTTGAGAAGGTTGCCCCATGATTTGCAGAAGAAACGTCCTGAATTGTGGCAAGCAGGTGACTGGTTCTTCCACCATGACAATACACCTGCCCACACCGCACTGAATGTTCAGTTTTTGACCCAAAACAGCAAGATCCTTGTGTCCCTCCCTTCCTACTCACCCAATTTCACACGAGCAACTTTTTTTCTTATTTCCTGGATGAAAAAAGTCCTCAAATGGAAACAAGTTGCCGATGTGGAAGAGAAACAAAAAAATGGCAGAAACACTAAAAACATCCTAATTAACAAGTTCGAAAAACATTTTGATCAGTGAAAAAAAAATCTCGATAGGCATATTGCATCAAATAGGGAGTACTTTGAAGGTGACTTAAGTTTGAACATGTAAGAATAAATACACATTTTTTAATAAATAAATTATAGTTTTTTGGGGGGGTTCCTCCCTTTTTATTGTGCTTTTATTTTGCTCTGAAAAAAAAAGAAGAAATAGAAAAAAGATTTAAAGCCAGTAAGGTAAAAAGAGAATATTTGTGATGTTTAAACTCTTAGGTCTTGTAAAAGTATATTAATAACCTTTGTAAAAACAAAAACAAACAAACAACAACAAAAAAAACCAGTCTATCTTAACCATAGAATCTCTTAATTCTAGCATAGCTTCCTGTCTTCTATTATCAAATATGCATTTAGCTGCAGCAATTGGAGACAAAAAAGACCCTACTCCACACCTGTGTTTCTCATGTATAAAGTGCACATGAGTGTCATGGAAATCTTGTTTAAATGCAAATGTTTATTTGTGTGAGCCTGGAGCTGAGTCTGAGGTTGTGCATGTGAAACAAGCGCTCAGTGACACGTAGCTGCTCCAGAGAGTACCAAGGCACTTGGACTTGCTCTGTGGCTTGTTATGTCTTGTTATCAAAGGCATAACAAATTATTTCTCTAATTTTTTTTTTAGAAATTAGAAAACATATCATAGAAAGGAGAAACAAAGTTGCTCAACTTTATCAAAAGATAAATCTGTTATTATTTTCAGAAATAATTGCAGGGTAGATTCTCATAT